TAGATGCGTTTTTTCACATTTTCCAGCCCCCGCGGCCATTTTGAATCACTCCATGAAAGCAAATATTTACAGTCTATGGTTCTATCCAGGCAGAGTTGGTACCAAAATGTTCTAACTGACAGTCATTGGCCAGAGTGCTGCTGGAAGACATGGTTACCAAGGAATTTCTACAGATACTGTTGTGTTGTGGGTAGGTTGCAAGCAAGCCCGGATTAACCATACGGGCAACTGGGCAATTGCCCAGGGGCCCTCCGTGGGCGGCCCATCTAAAGGGCCTTGCTGTCTGGGCCCAGGGCCCACGGAGGGCCGTCATGGGCGGCCCATCTAAAGGGCCCAGACAGCAAGGGCACGAGCAAAATACTGTTACGGGGAATTTACACAGTAGGCGTAAACAGCACGTACGCGTTTACTGCGCGCTCTCTGCGCGTAACATTTTTTTGGAGTATCTACACTGACCGTGCGCGCAGGTCCGCGTCTTCTGATGCTCTCCCTGTGTAGTTCTATGGAGCAGTGTAGAGGACAGTACGGGCCAGAGGACTGATGTAGAGCAACACAAATCACATGCATGTGTTTGTCTTCATGGTCTCTGTGCTGGTTTGGCCAGACGCGAGACTTTATAAAAGAAAAAAAAAACGATGTCCAGAATCACTGTAAAACCTGCTGCTCCTCCTGCTGATGTTTAGACACAAGTCCTGTGTGTGTGCAGATGTGATCTAAAGCCAAGGGCCGCTAGAAAAATCATGTTTTACATGAGATTTTAATGGGAGACGCGTTGGTGCGCGCACAAAATTAGAAATCCATCCTAAATTAGCGCAGCAGATTTTCTAATTTTGTTTTAAATCATCCACATACTGCACACACACAGGACTGAGTGTCTAAACATCAGCAGGAGGAGCAGCAGGTTTTACAGTGATTCTGGACATCGTTTTTTTTTTTCTTTCACATGTGTGTGACCTCTTTGTGGTTTTGTATTTGAGAGGGACTGTGACGATTGTGATGTGCGTGTAAGAGATGCTAAACTTGAGCTCCACTTATCCAACAGATCTGGATAGTTTCCTTGTCAGATGAACTTATTCAGTTCAAGCACTTTTGTGCAGTATGAAACTTCACCTGTACAGCAGCTGCAAGCTCTTGACAGACATGGACTTAAGACAACATTTCCGAATGTTTATGTTGCACTAAGACAGTTTTTTTAACCTTACTCATGTATCTGAAGGAGAATTTGGGGGGGGGGGGGGGGGGGGGGGGGGGGGGGGGGGGGGGGGGGGGGTAATATATTTATAGTGAAATAAAGAATATAATATAAATTAATAAAAAAACTTTTCTATTAAAATAAAAATAAAATAAATAAATAGAGAAACATAAAAAATACATAATAAGAAAAAAAATAAAAAAAAAAAAAAAAATAAAAAATAATAAAAAAAAGAAAAAAAATAAGAAGAATAAAAAAAAAAAAAATAAAAATAAAAAATATTTAATAAAGATAAAAAAAAAAAAAAATATAAAAAAAAAAAATAAATAAAAAATACTATAAAAAATAAAAAAATAAAATAAAAAAAAAAAATAAATAAAAAATAAAAAAAATTAAACAAAAAATAAAAAAAAAGAAAAAAATAAAAAATAAAAAAATCAAAAAAAAAATAAAAAAAAAATTTAAATAAAAAAAAAATCGCTACTCACAAAAAAATAAAAACAACAAAAACCAAAAAAAAAAAAATAAAAAAAATCAAAAAAAAAAAGACAAAAAAACAAAAAAAAAAAAAAAATAAAGTAAAAACAAAAAAAAAAGCAAAAAAAACAAAACAATAAAAAAACAAAAAAAAAAAAAAAAATAAAAAAGATAACAAAAAAAAAAAACACAAAAACAAAACAAACCAAAAAACAAATCCCCAAACAAAAATAAAAACTTAAAAAAAACACAGAAACAACAAACCAAGTCAAAAAAAACCAAAAAAAAACACAAAACACAACACAAATAAAAGACAAAAAAAACAACAAACCACAAACACCAAAAACCACCCACCCACACAAAACCCCCCACACCAACCCACAAAAACCACACCCACAACACCCAACCACACAAACCACCAACCACACCCAACCACAACACCCACCCACACCACCCCAAACAACACACAAAACCCCCCCCCCCACCAAACACCACCCCAACAACACCCAAACAACACACACAACCACCACACACCCACCCCCACCCACCCACCCCCACACCACCCACCCCCCCAACCCACCCCACCACACCCCACCCACCCCCCCCCCCACCCCCCCCACCCACACCCCCCCCACCCCCCACCCCACCACACACCCCCCCCACCCACACACCCCCACCCACCCCCCCCACACCCCCCCACCACCCCACCCACCCCACACACCCACCCCCCCCCCACACACCCCACCCCCACCCCACCCACACCCCCCACCCACCACCCCCCCCACCCAACACCCCACACCCCCCACCCACCCCCACCCCACCCCCACACCCCCCCCCACCACCACCCCACACCCCCCCCAACCCCCCCCCACCCCCCACCCCACCCCCCCACCCCACACACCCACCACACCCCCCCCCCCACCACCCCCCCCCACCCCACCCACAACCCCCCCACCCCACCCCCCCACCCACCCCCACCACCCCCCACCCCCACACCCCACACCACCCCCCCCCACCACACCCCACCCCCCCCCCCCCACCCCCCCACCCCCCCCACCCACCCCCACCCACCCCCACCCACCCCCAACACCCCCCACCCCCACCCCACCCCCCCACCACCCCCCCCAACCCCCCCCCACCCACCCCCCACCCAACCCCCCCCACCCCACACCCCCCACCCCCACCCACCCCCCCCCCACCCACCCCCCACCCACACCCCACCCCCACACCCCCCCACCACCCACCCCCCACCCCCCACCCCCCCCCACACCCCCACCACCCCCCACCCCACAACCCCACCCACCCACCCCCACCCCACCACCACCCCCACCCCCACCCCCCCCACACCCCCCCACCACCCCACACCCCCAACCCACCCCACACCCACCCCACCACCCCACCACCCCACACCACCCCCCACCACACCACACACCCCCCCCCCCCCACACCCACCACACCCCCCCCCCCACCCCCCACCCACCCCACCCCAACCCACCACCCCCCCCCCACCCCCACCCCCCCCCCCACCCCCACCCACACCCCCCCACCCCCCACCACCCCCCCACCACCCACACCCACCCCACACCCCCCCCACCCCACACCCCCCACCCCACCACCACCCCCCCCCCAACACACCCCCCCCCCACACCCCACCCACCCAACACCCCACCACCCCCCCACCCCCCCCACCCACCCCCCACCACCCACCCCCCACACCCCCACACCCACACCCCCCCCACCCCCCACCACACCCCACCCCCCCACCCCCCCCACACACCACCCCCCACCCCCCACACCACCACCCCACCCACACCCCACCACCCACCCACCCACCCCCACCCCACCCCCAACCCACCCACACCCACCCCCCCAACCCACCCCACCACCACCCCCCACCCACCACCCCCACCACCCCCCCCCCACACCCAACCCCCACCCACACACCCACCACCCCCACCCACCCACCCCCCACCACCCCAACCCCACCCACCCACCAACCCCCCCCCACCCCACCCCCCCACCACCCACCCCACACCCCCCCACCCCCCACCCCCCCACAACCACCCCCACCACCCCCCCACCCAACCCCCCCCCCCAACACCCCACACCCCCCCCACCCCCACACCCCACCCCCCCAACCCCACCCCCCACCCACCACCCCCACACCCACCCCACACACCCCCACACCACACCCCCCACCCACCCCACACCCCCCACCCACCCCCCCACCCCACCACCCCACCCCCCACACCCCCCCACCCACACCACCCAAACACCCCACCCACACCCCCCACCCACACCACCCCCACCACCCCACCCCCACACCCAACACCCCCCACCCCACCACCACACCACACACCCCCCCCACACCCACCCACCACCCCACCCACCCACCCCCCCACCCCCCCCCCAACCACCCAACCCCACCCCCCCACCCACCCCACCCCCCCACCACAACACCCACCCCCCACCCACCCCCACCAACCCACACCCCACCACCCCACCCCCCCCCACACCCCCAACACCCCCCACCACACCCCAAACCCACCCAACCCCACCCCACCACAACACCCACACCACCCACCACCCACCCAACACCCCCCCCCCACCACCACAACACCCAACACCCACCCCACCACAAACCCACCAACCCCCCAACCCCCCACCCAACACCACAACCCACCCCCCACCCACCACCCCCACCACCCCACACCACCACACAACCCCCCCACCCCACCCCCCACACCCCCACCCACCACAACACCCCACCACACAACACCCACACCCCACCCCCCACACAACCCACCACCCCACACACCACACCCCCACCCCACCACACCCCACCCCCAACAAACCCCACCCAACCCAACCCCAACCACATAACAAACAACCCACCCAACCCAACCACACCCAACCCAACCCCACCCACCACACAACCAAACCCACACCAACACCCCACCACACCACCAACACACCCCCCACACCCCACCCCAACACACCACCCCCACCCACCCCACACACCAACCCCCACACAACACACCCACCACACCCACAAACACAACACCACCCCAACCCACACCCACAACCCACCAACCCCCCCCAACCAACAACACCAACAACACACAAACCACAAAACCCCAACCACCACAAAATCACAAAACAACCCACACACCCACAACCACAAACCCAACCAAACAACACCACCACCAACACCAACCAAAAAACCCCACACCAACAACACACCCAACCAACAACACCCCCACCACCCAACCACTCCCACCCCCACACCTAACCCAAACAACCACACACCCCCCCCCCACTCCCCCCACCCAAAACACCCCACCCCCCACCACCCCCAAACAAACCACACACCCCCACACCCACCACACCAACACCCCCCCTTAAAAAACAACACACAACAACCACTCACAACCAACACAAACCCACAACCCCCACACCCTACAAGCTATACACAAAAACACACCCACCCCCCACCAAAACCACCACACCCACAAACACCAACACACCACAAACAAAATCAAACCCCCACCACCCACACCAACACAAAAACCAAACCCCCCAACAAACACACCCCAATCACACCGTCACACCCACCCACAACCACCACAACCTCCACACCACCCCCACCCCCAACACCCCCCACACCCCCATACCCCACAACCCAACACCCCCCCCCTACTCACCCCCCACCCCACACACCACCAACCACACCCCTCAACCCCCATCCCCACATACTATCCACCCCGCATTACCGCCTATCCCGCGCAGCACACCCCACACCCAAACTGCCGAACTCCGCGCTACCCCTCCCACCCACTCCACGCCTCCCCACCCCAAACTCATCTGACCACGCTCCAACCCACTCACATACGCCCTGTCACATCAGGCCAGATACTCTGCAACCCCTCCAAAAACGACCCTATCCCGTCATAACACTACCCCAGAACACAACACATACCCACCCTCACCTACACGAATGGTCAAGGACCCCCCCACCAGCTCCCCCCACCCCCTACCCCCAAAACACTTCACCCTGTATCTCCACCCATCCACCTGCCCAAACCACTCCCAACCCGAGCCACCCCCATTCCACTCCCGAGCCGTGAAACCCTCCGGCCCTTCATTTCAACCCGGAATCCTACCCGGTCGCTATGCACCACCACATGAAAGCATGGGAGTGTACCACGTCCAAAGCCTGCCCCACTCACAATCTAGTGGCCCCCTCACCCTGATCCCGCCCCCCTGCCCCCGCTACTCCCACGCTTACACGCCGCCCTGAACCCTTCCCACCTCCTCATTCGGTCTACACCAGACTAAACCCTTTACGGAACCTTGTCGTCGCCACCCCCCGTCCCCCCACCAGGCAGTCGCCCGGACAGACACATAAACGCCGCCCTACCTCCCAACCTCTTCATCCACCCTGCAAGCTAATCCTGACCCTCCATCACCTCTACACCCCCCCTCCTAGTATCCGCCATCAAAGAACACCTCCCTCCATCCCCCCCTACCTACCCACACAATCACAGTTCCCACACATTACCAGGATCAAAACCCACAATAACTACTACTCCCAACCCTTCTATCTACCTCATCCCCTCCCCACACAATTACGACACCCCATCCCACTAAACAAAACCCATGACCCCTAACACTACACAGCCCCCACACATTAACACCCAATCCCTATAACTTCAACACCGCCTAGCCCCAAACCCCAATCCAACAATAAGCCAATACCCACAATCCGCCACCCGTTACCCATCACCCCCCTATAGCCCCGACATTTACCCCTCCAAAAAATCCATCTCCATCCCATTCCCCTTACCACCCCCAATTTACGGTCCCATACCTTAAACTGGACCACACCTCAAACCCGGACCATTTCCGTTTTTCCCCCCGCTACCATTGGTTATCCGCAACCTCCCACACCCCCATGTAGACCCCAACCCCACAACGACAGTCTTCCCCTGCTCACATGGCCATACCCGCGCAAACTCAACCACTCACACATACCTGCTCACCCGTTACAACATAAATCCAACCCTACCCCAGCACACTACAACACTCTGACCGACAACCGTGCCCACCACTGTCTCTCTCCTCCTCCCACCCCGACTCCCCCCCCTCTGCCTTCTCCACTAAGTCACTTCCCCAATCCAGTCATCTAAATCCGCACCAACCTCTGCGAACATACCTAGTACCTTCCTCTCCCCCCCCCACTATCTCTATTCCCCCTCATCTCAACTCTCTTCATCTCACATTACCTCCCCTCAACCTCCACCTTCCATCCCAGCACCCAGGCGCCCCACCCCACACAGTCCCCCCCAACTCCCACCTGCCCCCCTTCAACTCCCCATAAACCGAACACCATAATCAACCCCCCTACCATCCCTCCGGACACCCGCCACCCTCCCCTTTCAGTACCCCCTCACCCCGCATACCACCCCCTCCCACTTCCACCCCAACGCATCCCAACCCCTCATCCCCCCCCACCTACGAATATCAACCTATCCCTACCCCCATACCTCAGCACACTCACAAACCCACCAAATCCCCCCCAGCCTATATCACCCGCACCACAACTCACACCCCCCCTTCCCACCCCTACCACCTCAATCACACTAACATCATCACCAAAACGCCACCCCACCCCCCTTCCTCCACATCTCATTCCTCCCCACACGCCTCCCCCGCTCCCACCCTGTCGCAACCAAGGTTACCCCCCCCCGCCTAGCGCACACACCCACGTCTTCTCACTCACACACTCTAAATCCAAAACTCCATCTACCTGACCACTCCTACCCGAACCACGCAAACGAACAACCCGTATCTCACCCCCTCCAACCACCCAAGCCCGACCCTGCCCTCCCCCCAGATTAGTCCCCCCCTCCTCGGGTTTGTTTCTCTGTTCCAACCCCCCCCACCCCATAAAGACCAACCCCAACCATGCCTAACACCAACCCCACCACGACACACCGCCCACAGCCCCACAACCGCTACACTCTTGCACCCACGGCGCCCCCACCCACCCTACCCCAGTCCACCACACCGCGCCTCCCCCACCACCCTTTTAACTAACTAGCAAACAGCAAACAAACACGCCAAAACAAACAAAACTACAACCACACTAAAAAACAAACGCCACCCCCACCCCTTTGCCCGACCCTCTACCCTCACCACACCATCAATCACCCAACCCCCAACCCTCACCCACACCCCAACAAACCCTCCCCTCCACCCCCCCCACCG